TTGAAGCTAGCTGTGATCCAAAGGAGAAGAGTTATGTCGGTGGTAACGCTGTACACAGGGGGTGCCCCTACGGCAATACACTGCCTCCTCTACGATCACCATCAGTGAACTGGGCATTAGGCCCCACGCACATCTTATAGTACGGACTGTGCAAAGGACAGCTCAGTCTCTCAAGAAAGCCGACTTCGGCATTCGAAGCGTTAGACGATGAATACCTCTCTCCCGGCAAACGCACCTTCCTATTCTCTTACGGTAGCTAGGAAGTGCATCTTAGTTGCTCGTGTGAAATTCGAACATAAAACGCTTCCAATGACCTTTTGTTTGGGAAAACTTACGCCGACAATACTCAACTTACGCACAACTTCATTTTCTTCACAAATATCTGGTGAAATAAGTTTTTCAAGTGTCCGTCTTACAGGCCGCACGTCAATGTGGGATTTAGTGTACATTCGAGAATGACACCATCGACCGAATAGCTACGCTTGCAGTGTCCAAGCCTTGAACGTGTTAGTGATATAACACTGCAACAAAGCAGCCGCGAGTGCGCAAAAAATACCCTGTGAATCTAAGCTTCAAGAAAACGGGCAAACACGAATGCGACATGATCGATAATGCTCCGAGAACAACCCGCCCATTCCTCTGAACGTGAGCGGGTTTTAGAGCAAGCATCCAATGTAAAAACGTATTGAGTCTCACGGGTCATCCGGCATTAATTGGGACCTAATATGATTGACGCTGACCTGTTAAAATTACTTGCATCTTTTGGATCAGTGTTGAATCAAACCGGAACTCAGGACGAGTAGAAAGCTCTCTTCCAGCACCAAGTCGTCTCGCTCTTCATGCCACATAGGAAAACCAACAAGTTACTGAAGGGGTCCAGGACCTTACGGGGTTAAAATCCCAAAAGATAGACATTCGATCCGCGGAAAAATGCCGGTCAATCGTTTCTCTCGGCAAACTGAATTACCGAAAGTCCCTTGGTGCTAATGAACGACCAAAATTGTATTAAATGGTGCAGTTCCACTCGAGCTGCTGTCGCGGCCAAAGACAGTTGAACTCATCGCTGTCAGTCTGGTACATGATGAAACCCCAGAGGTGCCGACTCCGTCTCCCTGTCCCTAAAAAATGCACAAACTTTGCGTCCGGTTACGGCCCCTTGGCTCATTCTAACGCATATCCATATGAGGGTCTATAAACCGGGCTCAGACATCTCATTCACCCGAGCACTTCTTAGATTAACTCAAGGACGTCCAGTTGAAACGAGAGAATAGTCTCGATCGATGCCACTCCTTGCATCAGGTCTATACCCCAAACACTCGCAGTGAAAACAATTAGTGGCCAGTTGCGTCATTGATAACGAGTGCCAGCCCGCAAGCCAAAACAACTGTCGAGGTGTGCGTGGGTTTTGTCGAGCAGGAACCCTTAAATTTTATGCGGATATTCCGTCACTGAGTTTGGGGATAGGTCTGTTAGGCCGAATATAACTAGCAAATCCCAAAATTGTTGGTAGCCAGATCGTTGTAGGGTTCCGGATAATAACCTGTTGGGTTGTTACTCAAAAGATCTAGAATTCAATGTGGTCTCAAACGGTAGGGCTCATCAATAATCAAGCATCATAATCATTGTGCTCCTTGAATTGATTGACAAAGAAACAATATACTTCGAAATGACCGAAAGTCGGTAAACTGGCGGAGATTCCAAAGAAAAGCAACTTACTGATGAAGTTTCATCCTCACGAACACAACGCATGATAATAGCAAACTCAGTGAAGCTTGCACCTCGTTTTTTGAAGGAAGACCGAGCAATGGCAAGCGGCTGAAAGGCATGTTAAAGAAGCTGCTGTAAAGTCAACGGCAACCGCACGGTCAAGGTTTAAAATAACGAGGGATCAATCATGTTATGTGATGATAACTTGTCTATATTTCATTAGTGAAAATGACATGAGACCTGAAAGGGTATCCTCATTAATGCACACTACAAATATGGAAGTGGTGCAGAAAGACTGGCAATTTGGCTCACTCTTACTATTTGAGCCAATTTACTGCCAAAATTGGACTAAATGAGGACTCAAGGGCCAGATTTTTACTCGAATTTTGTTATTAGGACCGTGTAGTGTGGAAGCAGAATGGAGAGCAATTTATGCCCAACGTCATATACAATGTACAGCAACTAAAACAAAACAAATGCACTAATCTCTTAGGTCGATGACTCCTATGGAATAAGACAGAACATGGCCTCTGAATTGAGTTCCGAGCACACTGGCTGCAAAATGCCCAAAACTCACGTAATTCCTCCGTGACATGATCAGCAACCGCAGAAGCCGCTCTTTGCCATTAACTATGAAGTATCCACCGAGTTCCTTCTCTTCCTCATTGCACTTTACGAAATCACTTCGTGGGAGCGCGGAAAGATTACATGCGGCCGACAAGACCATCACAGGTAAGTCCTCGGAAACCACATCAACGAGACCCAGATCAGTGCCGTTTCTTGATATCCTCACGTGTACAACGAGGCTGCCGCCATAAGTTTGGCCGGTTCTACGACACTAGAAACCATTTCAGCAAATATATAGCCCGCACGTACCTCATGTGGATATACAGTAGGATTTTTCCTGTCAGAGCAACGCGGCGGAAGAACTTCAAGGAGCTAATAAATTAGTTTCAAAAATTCAGATATCCTACGTCGATCGAAAGTGCGAAATTCTCGCGTGTGGGTGTACTGAAATGTATTGGCGTCAGATGCTGTAGAATGGTAAAACGTCATCCTGAAGTTACCTTAGTAAGACGTTTCAATCCATCATTTAACATAAAGTTAAAAGAATTTAGGTGCATGCGACTAAGAGTATCCATCATTGACAAAGGAACGCAAAAACTTTCCCAGCTGTCGCACGCCTCTGAATAACAAGGACGTCGCGTCGCAAACCTCACGCATTCTCATATTCGGGATTTGCACACCCAATGAAATTGAGGATAATGGTCAGTCCGAGTGACCTCAATTCGAAGATGGATTGATGAAATAAAAAGGCTGATTCGGCTGTCTACCTCGCTCACGAGGCCCTACGCCGAGTCTTATATGCTACTAACAAGGCACAGACTACCGTCCAAAGATGGGTGGACGCAACACATAGGCACCCGACACGAGGGGAAATGCTGATAGGATTCAGGGCATACCTGCCACAGGAAACATCTGCAATTCACGACGTGCGAACAATCGCCCACAGACAATACATATCTCTTCCGCAAAAAAGACAAAACACGCTTCCGCGGGGAGTAGTTATATGGTCTATCAGTCATAAAGCACAATAAGATACTCCTTACAGTTCGTCGTCTTAACCTGAGGCGCGATCACGCATTTCTTTGCAGACTGATTACCTCAGAAACTGACCTAGAATAATAGTTTTTGCTGTATTTTACTCATCTATACAATGCTGGGAGATGCTCATCGGCCTTACTAAACTCCGAAATCTCGAACGTTTCCAATTTTGGCGGTTCTCGCGCAGCGGCCAGTCTCTCTCGTACGTAGCGTATGCGTCTGCAGCACTCCTTGCACCGCACCGGGTGACTACTACCAAAAATGGAAATCCCTTTAAGTTAGCTGGCTTTCTGGAGTCTGGTTTCGTCTGTCGGGTCTCGTTTGGACGTCAAAGGAGGACAACCAAAAAAGGAGTCAATATTCTCTCTATCAAATTACCGCTGTTTATTGATCTGGGGCGACCATGTTTTGCTATTCATTGTTGCGCCCCTTATTGTTAAGATCGACAGTCATAAGAATGTAGCTTGGCCAGCTTGAATAGGACTAGGGTTCCGGACCTCGAACACCCAGTATTTAGAGGTCTGGGGGACTATCCCAACTTGAAATTCAAGGGTCAGCAAGTCCGTCTAGAGACCCCTGATTTACTCGTTAGTAACCCTCCTGAAGGAAGAGACGGTCCTAAGGGTGTCGCTCACGAACGCGATTAGATCCTGAAGCATGAATCGGGCAACCAGTAAAAGGAACTCCTAAGTAGTCAGCGCAGTTAAGTGGACTTTGGATAATTGGGGTTATTCTGGAAAAAACCACAGCTCCTATGTTGGTAGCCGCCTGCAACGGGAATAGTTACACATGTATAGCGGGATTATCCAAACTCCATTCCTATTCATGGAATCAAGAACGTGTGCCTGAAAAGGACGCATGGGTGAACTGGTGATTGTCGCCGGCTGAAGGATTCTTCCGCTGAGTGGCCGATTGCAGAGTCATCGCAATTCTCCTGGAGATGAGACCAAAGAAATCAGTCAGTCAGTCAGTGTATTTGAGGGAAAAAGGCTTACGCCTTTGAACTCCCTATTTGTACATAAAAAATCGATAAACAAGCAAAATGTGAAGAAATTACAGCATTAAGTGAATGCATACATTGATTCACATATGTCACTAGTCACATGGTTAAAAAGTCACATAGTCCGATTGTTGCTGCAGCATATATCTGTCAAGGCGACATTTAAATGTCTCCACAGATTGAGACATAACAACCGCCTCGGGCGGGTTATTCCACGGTTCCACGACACGGTTGGAGAAGAAATATTTTCTCACATTCAGTCTACCCTGTGACACACGTAGCTTGAAGGGATGTCCCCGGAGGTAAGTTGTAGTGGCGAGTTGGAAAAAGTCATCGCACCGAAGGGCACAATCCAAGCCGCGCACGATACGGAAAGTTTGTATCATATCTCCGCGCAACTGCCTATAACTCAGAGGATAGAGATTAAGGTTGGTTAAGCGGATCTCGTATGGCAGTGCACTTTGACCTCTTACTAATTTTGTGGCTCGCCTCTGCACCCTTTCGAGCAGATTGTAATCCTGGTTCGTCCACGGTCTCCAGGCCTGAATTGCATATTCGAGGTGGGGCCTTATAAACGTACCGAAGACTTTGGTGAAGCAGTCTTCATCGAAAACTACGAATGCCCGCTTGATGGCATATAGCATTGACGTTGCGGCCTTGGCCGCCTTACAGCATTGTGTAAAAGGCTTTAGGCGGTCTGCAACCCAAACTCCGAGATCTTTCTGAGTTTCTGCTTATCGGAGTGGCATTCGTTCAGATGGTATTGCCGCGTACCAGGGCTCTGATTTCCGAGGCGCAGAATGGTGCATTTGTTCAAATTGAAGGACAAGAGCCATCTGCGGGACCACTCGTCCAACCGACAAAGATTTTCTTGGAAGTTGGTCTCATCGGCAGCATTCTGGATGACTTTCCAGATTTTTATGTCATCCGCAAACATGGCGCAATCACAGTCCAACCCATCTACGCAATCATTGATGAACAAGAGAAAGAGAGTTGGTGCGAGCACCGAGCCTTGTGGGACCCCACTCTTTATGAATGTGCACCTTGATTGCTGTTGTTCTACGCAGACAATTTGGGAGCGGCCGACAAGGAAATTTTCCATCCATTTGAGAAGTTTGCCACCGATGCCCATAATTCTCATCTTGTGTAGGAGACGCTGGTGCGGAACACTGTCAAACGCCTTCCCGAAATCAATATAGGCAACATGCACGGTGTGTTTTGCGTCCAGTGCTCGTGTCCAACTTTGCATGGTGTATAGCAAGTTCGTAACACATGATCTTCCCCTACGGAAACCATATTGTGCATTGGACAAGAGGTTGTGGGTTTCCAAGTAAGCCATCAACTCCTTTTTGATGGTTTTCTCCATCACTTTGCAGCAGATTGATGTCAGACTGACGGGTCTGTAGTTTGTCGCCTGAGCACGACTACCGCTTTTGTAAAGGGGTGTAATGTGGGCCGTCTTCCAGTCTGTGGGAAGAATTCCAACATCAAACGATTTTTGGCACAGAAAGGATAGTGGCTTGGCCAGCTGTTGGGCAAGCTCAGAGAGCAGCTTTGCTGGAATCTCGTCCGGACCGGGAGATTTACATTCCTTCAAGCTTTTTAGTTCTTCCAAAATCGCTTCTTCTTGAAACACAATATTTTCCATAGTGGGATCTCTCATGTTCTCAGAATTAGATGGGGTAAAGTCCGCTTCTCTTGTGAAAACGGATCGGAAAAATTGAGAAAAGTGCTCAGCCTTATTTGTACTGTCCGATATCTCCAAGCCGTCATCACCCCTCATAACAGGAATGGGATTCCTGTTACGTATGCTTTTCCGCAAATAGCTGTAGAGCAATTTCGGATTTTTAACGGCTCCGTGGAGCAAATTACTCTCAAAATCCCGTCGCCTCCTGAAAATCAGGCTTTTCACCTTATTTCCTTGAATTTTGTATTCTGCAAACGCTGCATTGTTGTTGTTCTCGCGAAATTTTTTCCATAACCTACCTTTCTTGTTGATCTCCCTTTTGAGTTCTCGTGTAAGCCACTGAGGGCGGTTGGATGTCCTAGGCTGTGATAAGGGACAGTGGTTCTTCATTAGATGCAGTAAACGATCCTTGAATAAATTCCAGTCCTCGTTAACGTTTCCGGAGAAGAGAACATCCCAGTCTATTTGCGATGCCTCAGCTCTCATTTGGTGAATGTCCCCTTTCCATATATTTGGCCTCGTATTGTCTTTTGTACACTGTTCAGAATACAGCAAGTACTGGCATGAAAGCGCTGCATGATCACTTCGACCGAGCGGGGGTAGGTAGTACACCTCGTCTATACTGTCAGGATCTTTGGTAAAAACGAGGTCCAGACAACTGGCCTGTTGCCCTCCACGAGCTCTAGTTGGAAACAGGACATGTTGCGTGAGTAGAGCTTCTAGGGTTGTCTTTAGTAGATGGTAATCGAAGGTATTCATCGAGCATTTCGCATGCATATCACTCCATTGAATGCATGGTGCATTAAAATCTCCCATGATAACAACGTCTGGTCGGCTGGCGATCTCTTTTATGGTTTTCAGTAGAGAAGTATCTGGGTCGGGATCTCGGGAGGTTGATTTAATGGACTCAGCACCCAAAAATTGTGGAGCTCGGTAAGAATACACAAAGCGGAAGATAGTTTAATTGAAAGTTTTTTACTTGCCACGAATCTTCCTGTGTTCCACGGCACCCAGTCCTCGGGCCGTTTCTCCACCTTATCTACATCAAAGACTGTGGCAACAACCTGGAGTATGATATACCCTTGTCATTAATAATTCCTCGTAAAAACGTGCAGTTTGCGTAAGCGTTTAGTACGGTGCTGATTATCGTCTGCGACAGTCTTTTTAGTCGAAAGTATCCTACAACCGATCAAGCAATTTGCTGATCGAATTCTGGATGACGTTGCCCATCCCCTCAATTCTGATATAATCTCTGCAAAGTCTTCGCGTCCCATGTGCCGTGGTTTTCGACTTTTCTCTTTTCGTACATCTGTAGATCATCATTCAGTATTACCATTCCTGGCGCACTATCTTACTTGTGAAGGGACAGAAATGCAGAAACCAAGACTAGAACTGTCCCCATATTAATCGTTCATTTTGTGTAAGACTTTTGACTTTTGAGTTAATTCATTAACTTATTTTCTGTCCACAGTGAATGCAGAACATTTTTGATGAAATCTTTGATTTATAATTTCAAAATAAAGCGAATTTCTCTCAGTCTCTCATTTGTGGCATGAAAGTAATAGGCGCCATGTGGGGACCCAGTGCGCATAGTTTTGACTGCCGTTGTTCATGAGTGCGAGCATGCTCTCGCGACCTGCTAGTTTGAATCAGAAGGCGACTTTCAGACCATCAGCATCCATACCAAATCCACCGTTCTGAAACAAATCCAGGATACAAGTGCTAAAAGGACAAAACTTCATCGGAACAAGAACGTTGTTCTGAATATCTAAAATCGTCACCCATGTGAGGTTGGAGACGATGCCTGAAACCTTTAGTCGGTGTGTGCGGGGCAAGTGTTCGAAAATATAAGAATCATAAGTTTTCCACCTATCCCGAAAGAATAAACTATAAGGAAAGAAGAGCATTGTCAACACGATCAAAGGCCCGGGTACAGTCGAAGTGGACCGTGCGAAGAGCGGATCCACTGTACCTAGATTTTAAAACATAACCAGAGAAAGTCAGTCGACAGATGTCACAAGGCCGGACCTTGCGGAATCCGTGTGGGCCGCACTCAGTAGGCTAGTCTCCGTTAAATTACACACCCTCCTCTCTTTGTTCAGGGTTTTTAGGATTTTGGAAGCTGCTGGAAGGGTGTTTATTGGTTGAAATTCATCGAATGATGTAGAACGGCCGTGCTTAGGGATAGGCAGAACGTGTGATTCCTTCCGTGAACTGAAGGAGATTTCACTTTCGAGAGCAAGCATAAATATCTCATGTACGAAAGACAGAAAACAGTCATGAGTCCCAGCCCTTAAGATGCTGTCGGGACACCATTAGGTTCAGGACTATGAGATCTTCGAAATTTTCGGATGGTCACGGTTGCGTCCCAGGGGATAAAATGTATAGATTCAAGGATCTCACCGATCTAACTCTGGATGTTCCAAAAAAGAGTTATTGAATTTTCGATAAGCGTTATAGACAAGAAAGAATTGAAATTAGCAATGGCAAGCTTGGCGCCTACTATAGCATTTCCAAGAGCGTCTCGAAGGGTAGGATGATACATTTTTCTATGGACCCTTATTGTGCAATAAAATCGCTGCATTTAACGGGTATTTCTTTGGCAAGGTTGACCACTTCGGCTAGAGGTTCTTTTTTAAACAGCCTCATAGCCCGCTGCGAGATCTGGATAGTAGCTGAAAATGCATTGTGTTTGAGGATTTGGTGGAAGCTCGCGAACTGAATGCTTACTTAAGTAACCTGGACTCCTCTACTGTACGAGTTACAGAAAATACGCTCAAACCGACTTTCGAATTAAACACTTGCTTCGGTCTTCTTAGGGTAATCGGTGGAGTGAACAATGGCGTGTATGTGCAAGCGCTCCATTGTTAAGTTGGAATTCCTCAGGCTTGACCGCAGTCCACTGCCCTACGGAGTGAACGCAGAGGACGTCGAACACGACCCTTTCGACAAAACAGATAGGACTATTTTTTCGGTATGGTTTTACGGAGTACTCTTGTCACCTCTTTCCTCGAAAATCGAAACTCACTTCTACCGGGACGAAGAGCGTAACAAGTATTGGGGCATGGTGACTGAGGGAAGGCAACCGCTTAGCATGTGCGACTGTATCTTAAACTAAAAATGTGTTCAAATAATTTGAATCCTTAAGGTGGGATAAGTCGCGCTCTTCCGCTTCTGACCTCTTAGAACTGACTGAGCAAGTGAGTTGTGCATAAAAACTGGTAGGCGTAATCCGGTTAGAACAAGTAATAATGGCCAGAACAAGCCATACCTAAGGGTCCTACAGGATATGTGAAACAATTCAAGTCCTTCCTGTTCATCCTGGTGTGATAAATCCTTAAGATCATCCACTATCATCGATGTCTATATTGCATCTGTTCGAGGAAATCAATATCTTTCCCCATCCACAGTAGTAAAGCTTGCATTCCACTATCAGAGTAGGTCTCTAGAAGTCGACGATTTTTCTGAAAAGTTCAGGAGGAAGTATTTCGGTCGCACGTCTAATCCAGTGAAACGTATCAGCTGCCCTCCAGACCACCTTACAGTGTTCTGATGGCATCATAGTCGCGATCTTCAACATACCCAGATATTAGTTTTTATTTCATACCGGTGTTTTTAAGATACATTTCGGCCGGTGCTAAGGTGCGCAACCGTGCATTTAGGTACATTAAACCGAAAATCCATCTGCTCGACCAGATGTTCAGTTATTCTATGTCTGATTGCAATATTTTGCGTGTTCGGCACAATGGACTTCAGCCCATTTTTATATCGTCCATTTCTCTGGTGCGGCCACTTACATAGTACATGAATTATAGCGGACCTAAAACAGAGCGCTACGGACATCGCTTTCAGCCTTTATCTATTCCGAAGTGAAACTGTCAACAACAACTCCCTGCACTCTAGAGGGCAGGAAGTTTCCGTTCCATTTGGTCATTCTACCTCAAACTCCTTTTTCCCTAATCTTTTGCGAGAGACGTCGGTATGGCATGCTATCGAAGGCCATCCTGAAACCAAACACATCATCTTTTAGACTACGCATGTATACGGCTTTCATTTGTTCCTCGCACGATTAAAGGATACTTGTGTAACAAGAGCGCCCTCGACGAAAGTCATGCTAGCAACGCACAATATGTTTTTTTAGATACTATAGTGGACGGCTTTTTATAATGTACTTCATTATTTTGCATAAAATGCATGCTTAACTGGCTGGACCGCCATTTTCAGCGTCTATTCGTGACCTTCGCTTTTAGATCGGGGTAATAAACACATTCTTCCACCGATCAGGGATTTCGCCATTTTCGAAACACTTATCGAATATAATAGCAACGGTTCGGAGAGTTCATCGACAAGTTTTCTAGGTTCGCGTGCAGGTATTCAGCCACAACTTGGCAGCTTGGCAGGTTTCAATTGGGACAGTTCCATCCTTACTAGTGCTGGCGTCCCATACTTTAGATGTGGTCTTACGAAGACGACATAAATTCTTCCGAAATGTTCGGGAGAAAATATTTTAAATGCACGTCTGATCCAATATAGAGTACTAATTGCCTTCTGGACCATCTTTCTACAGTGTTATGATGGCGATAGATTTGTGGTCGTCCATACACCCAGATCTCTGTGTCTTTCTAGTTTCTAATGTTGCTCCGTTATGAAGTACTGGTGTTCAGGTGCAAGACCACGCATTTGGACACGTTAAACTTCAAAAGCCATCTGTACGACCAAGCACACAGTTTGTCGATGTTCGATTGCAACTCCTCTGCGTCATCATCGCACTTGACTTCACTCTATATTTTTATGTCATCCGCGAACATCAGAGCCTCACAATTCATTTCAATGACGCAGTCATTAGCATAAATCATGAAGAGTACTGGGCCTAAGACAGAACCCTGTGGGGCACCACTTTCCACCTTTACCCATTCCGAGGTAAAATTTCCAACGACTACTCTTTGTAGTCTGGAGGACAGAAAACTCCTGGTCCACTTAACCATTCTTCCTTGAATCCCAACATCCTAAATCTTCTGTAAAAGAAGCCTGTGTGGGACACTGTCAAAGGCCTTCTTGAAGTCAAAAAAATATGACATCCACTGGAAAACCCTTAT